GTAGCATGCAAAGCTATCAGCTGTAAGGTTAGTTTGGGGGGTGGCCACAGCAGGGCGGAGAAGGGAATTAAAGGTGTCAAAGAGGCGTCTGGGATTGCGGGAGCATGAACTAATGAGAGAGGAAAAGTATGACTGTTTGGCAAGAGCAAGGGCTGTGCTGTATGAATGCAACATGAATCTATAATGGAGAAAGTCTGCCTGGGTGCGGGACTTCCTCCAGGAGCGTTTAGCACAACGGGAGCAACTCTGCAGATAGCATGTTGATTTAGTATGCCAAGGTTGGGGTCGTGTCCTCCTTGAGGTGCATGTCTGGAGCGGGGCTGCAGTGTTCAAGGCAGATGTGAGGGTAGTGTTATAAGTGGAGATGGCCATTGAGGGGCAGGAGAGGGAAGGGATGGATAGCAGTTGTGAATCAATGTCAGCTGACAACTGCTGTAGGTCAATAGAGTTAAGGTTCCTTCTGAGTTGAGGGGGGTTAGGCTGAGGTTGTTGGGTGATGGGCTAATTGAGAGTAAACAATAAGAGGTGGTGATCAGAGAGAGGAAATGGAGTGTTGCAGATATTAGATACTGTACATGAGTAAGAGAAAATAAGGTTGAGGGTATTGCCAGCTACATGGGTGGAAGGCCACTGCAATAGTCCGAGGGAGGAAGTAATTGAAAGTAGTTTAGAGGCTGCTGGGGTCAAAGGTAATGGGAATATTGAAGTCTCCAAGAATTAGGGATGGAAGTAAGGTAGCCAGGCAGTAAAGTGGTCAAGGAAGAGGAGAGGGGAACCAGGGGGGCAATAGATAACGGCAATGTTAGCAGAGAAGGGTTTGAAGAGGCGAATTGAATGAATTTCAAATGATGGGAAAAAGAGGGAAGGGGGGGTGGGCAGGGTTTTAAAGGAGCAGTGGGGTGAGAGGAGAAAACCTACACCGCCACCTTTAATCTCTGCTTGTCTTGGATTGTGGGTAAAGTGAAGACCACCAAAGGATAGTGAGGCAGGGGTAGTATCTGTATCAGAGGGCAGAGAGCCATGTTTCTGTTAGTGCAAGTAGGTTTAGGGAGTGTGAGATAAATAGGTCATAGATGGAAGTAGATTTAAAGGTGCTGCATACAGGGCGTGCATTCCAGAGGGCAGTTTTAAAAGAGGAATTATATTGAGAATTACATGGAATGGGTATTAGGTTGTTGTGGTTTCTGGTGTTTGTAACAGGTGGCTGAGTAGTGGAGGGACCAGGGTTTGGAGAGACATCCCCAGCTGCTAGGAGTAGTAGTATGGAAAGGAAGAGAAGGTGGGAATAAGATTTAAATGTTGGAGATGAGAGCTTATATTTAGGGGATTTAGAGTGGTGTGTGGAGAAAGGCTGGATAAATATGAGTAAAGTGCTTGTGATGAATACAGAGATGAGGGGAGCAGAGAGGGTGCAATAGAGATGGTGTTAGCAGGAACAGGTAAGTAAAATGATAGAGAGATTTTAATGATGAGGGATGTGAGAGAGAAAGTGAAAAATAGAAGTTATATGTATTGTATGTCTCACAAATAATTGCTAATTTTCTTTAAATCTCTGGTAACTAAAAGGAATACTAGATTTTATTTTAATTGTTGACCCTATTCCTTTAATTGATCCTTTCATTATTATGCTCAACGTGCACACATTTTTCTACCTAAATTTATTCTAAATTTACTCTAAACTCAAAAATAAAACCAATAGAAGAAAAAGGCTATACACATCTCAATCATTTTAAGTTGTTTATTATAATATTTTATAATCTGTCTTAATTTCTTGATAATACAATATTTAGGTTGTCAGCAAATGATTCAGTTTCTGGTCCAGGATTTTGTAAATAATGTAAAGTTACCCTAGTGTTGGACTTCAATATCATGATTAGACAAATGTCTTTGGAGATGACGTACTGTACAGTTGTCATAACTTGTAGGGTTTTCTTGAGAAGTTACTGTAGTAAAGATTTATCATTTTTATATTCCTCAGTATTGTTCCATTACTTTGTATAATATACTATGAGTGTTCTTAATATTTATATTATTATTACTAGGTGAATTTACTGTATAGGCAACTTAAAAGGAAACCGTCACTTTTCTTGACACCATTGAATAAAACATTGAAAGTCACGTATAACTTTTTTTTCACAAGATGCTCTGTTTTCTATTAAATTGATATTAAAGTTTTAGCAAATGACATCATGATCCAGTTCAGACAAGGCAAGTCTGTGAAAAAAAAATGCACACGACGAGGAGAAATGCTTTTTCTGTGTTGACTCTAGGTAAAAAGCTTATATCAATGATTGACAGAGAACTAAGATGTAGGCGCCACTTTCAGGATAATAAGGTGTGGATTTTTTCTACATTTAATTTTATTTCTCACACCTCACAATAAGCAAAATATATATGTAAACATAGCATTAATATCCTGGGAAGTTTTAGCAAACCTCTGATCACCTACTTACTGATGGTCCCCTCTTGCCTAAGGTTTTGTAGAAGGATGTAGGAAAACAGAAACATAGGTTTGTCATAATATTACATCACTATAGTGTTTACCCAGTAGTGTAAGAGATGAGGCCCATAAAGCTTTTCTGACCCCTGCAAAACCTAAATCAACCCTTTATACTCTGGAGTGTAGACAGTGACAATATAGGATATTGGCCAGACCTATCACTGGATTGTCAAACTTAACTACTACATATTGTAAAATAAAAATTATTATTGGTAACAGGCTGATGGTAGTAGTATATCAGAATTAGAAAATGACCATTTGTTAGGGTTCATAAAATTTTACAGCATTTTATGCTATCGGTTTCTTATATATTGTGTCTCCCCACCTTCTTATATGATTATGCTCTGCAGTTTGTGATGTAAATTTTACACTATATTTTTTTTTACTAGTTTTGTCCAACATTTATCCTACTTTATTTTTTGCCAAATAGGGATCTTGGAAGGTTCTTAGTCCTCCAGAAAGCTTCTGTACACATGGTTATTGTGTATCTCTATTTCCTCTTAGACTGCTTTCTGAATGGTAACCATTCTCAGTGAAGTCAATTTATTCTACAAAGTAAGAAGAGCTATTTTAACTGTTCCATATGTAGAAATGACCCACTTCCCTAAGAATCACATCCTCCCTTTCACCATCAAACACGGAATACAGATGGTATAATGGTTATTGGAAAGTGCAATTATATAGATTGGGTTATGTAGGATAATGTCCCTGTAAAAGAGTTTGGATGCAGGATGCTAGATTATGATATTAGTATGGGGATTTCAAGTACATCAGTGTGGGAGGAGATGGAAGGTTGAACGATGGCAAATAGTGGAATAGGATATTGCAATATCGTAAAGCATTGCATAATAAGTTGGCACTATATAAATTCCAAAAATAATATTAATATAACAAGCATATGAGGAATTATTACTGGGGAGAAAAGGAATGTCAGTAATGTAAGAGAGTAGATATGGGAACAATGATGAAGAAAATAATTCTAATTATTCACATAGGTTTTAAAAGGTTATTTTTAAATGGGGCATTCATAAGAGGATAAAGAAGGAAAGTAATGTGAAAGAATATGGGTGATCCAAGTAGGCAATCTGGCTGCCCATGCATGATGCAACCTTGAAACATAAGCAATTAATGGGAATTTATTAGAGATATGGTAGAACAAGAGAAAGATGGACATTTTCTTGCACTGCTACATGTGGAAAGAATACTGAAGACATTCAGAGCATGTGCGTTATAGAAAATTATTGAAGACATTCAGAGGTTGGAAATTTGCTAACAGTGTTTAGTGGCTTACATGATAGACTGCCCAATATGAAGAGGCACCAAAGTGAAAGTTTCACTGGAGCACCAAGTCACCTTGAATGAAACATGTATGACTGTTATACTAGACCTTGGTTACATTGTGTGTATGTTTTTTTTTAAAACTATGTTTCAATAAATTATAGAGTAAATATATTTTAGAATGTTGCAGACTGTGATTCTTTGTAGGAACCTTTGCCGAGAGTTAAACAAATTATTCTGCACTGTCGTGGTTATGGTGCATGGAGTGGGCTGTAGAAAAATTAATGAAATAGGGTTTTGTAGGTTAAAACAAGATATTTTCTAATAAGGAGAATAAAAATAGCATCAGAGGAATGGAATGGGTTGGAAGAAGAAAAAAGCAGAAGCAGAGTGTGACCACCTATTCAAGCAATCCACCTGTGTGAGGTGCTGAACTGCAGGGAACTGATTAGTTTAAAGGATGCAGGCCTTAATGTAAAAGTTTGGATGTTTTTCAAATGATTTAACATTTTGGAAATGCTTTTAAAAGGATTTAATATTTAGAAAGATGTTAATATTTTGATATATTTTGATATACTGATTCATATTTTATGTATTTTTTTTTTTTAATGCTTTAATATTTTGGTAATTTATTTTTTTTTTAACAGTTTATCAAAAGATATTGAATCATTTGGAACAATCACTGGATGAGCCAGGGCCAGGGACCTCCTGTCATCATGACAACTTAGTTTTGATGAAGTTGTTAGGGTGCCCAAACTGGTTCTTTACATCATATTTTGTGTGTGTTTCTATGTACTTTCTATCTGTCTTTTTCTTTCTAATTGGAGACTAGAACTTTTTCTCCCTCGCTCCTTTATGTAGGAATACAGCACTAGCGTTTGTTAGTGCTTGTGATGCTTTTCTGCCCATAAAGTAATTAAGTTAGTTTTCGTAATGTTCCTATTTTTATATAAACTGCGAGTCTGTAATTTTAATAATGGCACTCTTGATAATCTCACTCCAGTACAGGCATTGCACAGCTCTCTCTTTACTCATACACTCATTAAAGTTCTAACTCCCTTGTGTAATTGTGTTCTCTTTCTATATAGCTGGACACAGACATGCTGTGCTAATAGTCCATCATTACTGACTAGTCAGTAATTGTTTTTTTCAAAATTATTTTTGTTATTACCTTTGCTCAGATTGTAATGCGCTATCTACATAACACTTTAAAATGGGGGTCATTTGCAGACTGGAGAATTCCTTCAACATTCAAAATGCTCCAGCCTCATCTCCTATATATTAGTATATAGGAGATGAGGCTGGAGCATTTTGAATGTTGAAGGAATATATATATTGGTATATAGGAGATGAGGCTGGAGCATTTTGAATGTTGAAGGAATTCTCCAGTCTGCAAATGACCCCCATTTTATATATATATACACACACACACACACACACACACACACACATATACATACACATTTATACCCTTTTTATTTAACACTGATAGGGAGACAATGGAATGAGTGACGGAGTTGCATTAAATAAATTAATATAAATGAATTTGCAGTCATCAGACATTACTTGCAAATAGATTATCATTTTGGCTGTCTCTGGTGTTATGAATGGTAAAACCAAACGTTTTTAGATGAAAACACGGGGAAATAGAGTGATCAATGAGGGGACAAAGAAAAGAGTTGAAAGTAAATCTTATAGACAATGAGAAAATTAGATGTGACAAGGCTGAAAGTGAAGGCTATTTGTCTGACTCCTTTTTTGAGATTTTTATATTTTAAATAGAAACACACACACATTGAGGTGTGAAAAACAAAAAGTAAATGTAAAATATCAACACTATCTTATCCTATAACTGGGTACCTCCAACTTTGCTCCCTGGTAATCGTTAAGCTTTGTCCTTTGCACCACTTAGTCAGTATAGAGTAAGGAATAGAGATGACAAAAAAACAATGTTTTTATTACTCCTTCTCATTTGAAATGTTTGCCATGGCTGTTACTGACATAAACTGGACTTTGATATCATTCTCTAAATCATTTTTTAGTCTTTTCTTTTATTCAATGGCGTAATTCCAAGAAAAGAACAATTTAAAGGGACATGCATCACTTTGAGACAACTGTCTCATTCAAATATTTAAGCCTTGTATGAGGCATTTGCCTCACTCCGCAGACTGAAAAAAGCTGGTTTATATGATGTATTAATCTATGTTCATATTTATCTGCTTCTTCTTTCTTATACTTTCTATCCCCACTTCAAGGTGACTCTTACCTAACCAAACAGTGTCCTATCCCTAGGAATGCTGGAAAAGTGCATGGGCATGTTTTGCAGATTTACATATGTGCAGTTGGAAGATCACTTTACTTTGCAACATCCGGACAGGGCTAGAAGATATAAAGTTCGATTATGCAAGCTAAGTTTCTCTCTGCTGCTGCATAATGATGCCCTGTTTCTGTCATTAGTGGACTGGCCTGAAGCTGAGATTAATGGGAAATGAGGGGGGAAGGCAAATACACTCCCTTAACTTAAAGACATGCTCAACAAAGCAATCTAACCATGTTAAAGTAAGTTTACAGATGTGCATTACATATGTCATTCTATTAGCATAGCATCACGGGTATTACCATTCCTCAACAGCAGGATATATGACTGCTGAAGACCTTTAAAATAGCCAAGGTGGGACATGCAACTGTCACTAGTCTAATACTATCCTTACCTTTTTGTGTCATTTTACCCCATTCCCTCTAGCATGTAAGCTCATTGAGCAGGGCCCTTAACCCCTATGTTTCTGTGTGTCCAACTTGTCTGGTTACAACTACATGTCTGTTTGTCCACCCATTGTAAAGCCCTGTGGAATTTGATGGTGCTATATAAATAACATAATAATAATAATAATAATAATAATAATAATGTAGATACCGAACTACTAAACGTTCTAGCTAAATATTTAATTATTGAAATAAATGAAAAGTGGAGTTAATGGGACATTCAACTGACATAAAGCATCTGTGTATCTTTTTTTTACTTTACAAAAAGTGCAGATTTCAAAAGAAATTGACACTTTCATAAATTGTTACACCCCCTAGATTTCAATCAGACAAGGTCCTGTTACTTCCAAGTAGTGTAGCTTAATGGAGCTAAACTCAAATACAGGCAATTGTCCAGAGCTCCTGCCTTACAAAGTCTTCTCAATCAGCTCTAGTTGACTGTTGTAAGTCTGTAATTGGACAGCCACAGAAAGTATAGGCTGGGTTACAGGTGGAGGGCTTGCAATTACTGCATACAAGTTGCTTTTAGAGGTACGATCAGGGATGTATTTACCACAAGGCAAACAAGGCATTTGCCTAGGGTGGCACTTTCGGGGGGGAGGGGGGGAGGCGCCAAAAAACACCACCCCAAGCTCCCAGACAAATGCCTTGTTTGCCTCATGTTCTGGGGCTGTCCACCTTACTGTGAGTGAGTGAGTGTAGCTGTCAGTGTGTGTGTGTGAGTGAGCGAAAGTGTTTTTTTTTTTCCAGTGAGAACAGGTGTGCCTGTGAGTGTGTAAGTGTGTGTATGCCATTTTATGTGTATCTGAGAGTGTGAGCCTGTCAGTGTGTGTCTGTCAGTGAAAGTGTGTGTTGGTTAAACAGTGTGTGCCAATGACTGTATGTGTGTGCCAATGACTGTATCTGTCAGTGAGTGTATATCAGTGCATGTATCAATGAGGGCATGTGTCTGTCAATCAAAAAAGTGGCCTTGACAAGAATCGTGGGGCAAATTTAGATTTTGGGGGTGCCCGAATTTAGTCGTGCCTAGGGCAGCACAAATCCAAAATACACCACTGGTTATGATCAGTGGAAAAATGTTTTCATTGAGTGTATACCTACTATATAGTGTCTTTGTGTATTTTTTTGTATTTGGGTAGTGGAGTGTCTTTAATGGTTAAATACCCCATGATTTTATTCACTGCTCCATCTGTTTACTACTAAAAGTATGGTTCTTGGTCTCCTCCTGATATCATAGGTTCATAATATGAACTTGGCTATATCAGAGAAATGTGATATATTTTCCTGGAAATAACATAAATTAAAATATAATATTGTATTAAATTTTCAATTAAATAATGTCATACAAGTTTTATATTGCTTAATCTAAAATATGGGAAACCATAATGAATGTTCTGTGACCTGATATGCCATACCCTTATCACAAAGCATACAATAAATTGTGCTATAGGAATAGATAATCATAACCAAGCGTTACAATGAAAATTGACAGGACAAAAGAGGAAATGAAGGATATAATCCACTTTTTCAAATATAATTTTTTTTCGTTTTTTTTCTTCATACATCCAAAAATATGTGTCATATAAAACCCACTATCCTTGACAGGACAGCAGATGGTTACATGAATAAGATGACAGGTGGTGAAATGAGGAGTGACAAGTTATACCCATTAAAATAAACTCAAGGCTGCTAATTTCTATGCATAAATACATCAAAGTTGCAGCAATTCTCTCACTCTGTACTTTCTTCTGCATGATGTTCCACAACATTCTTCCTTTCAATGTGACATTCAGATTAAAGGGATATTCTCTGAACCATGACCATTTCAGCTGGTTGTTAATAATTTGCAAAAAAGGCAAAAACACAGTTTCCTTACACCAAAAGCCCACCCCCTGCAAGGAACCCACACTAAAAGGACCTATAATCCATATGACGTCCCCTTAACCCAATAAGTGCTTCTCAGCAAAAGCGCTCTGACCACAAGCCACTCGGCATCATCAGCATGCCAACTGCAAAGATCCAACAATACTTCCAGACCAGCCACATAGAACTATTTTCGACTTGAATCCAAGTCACAATTTTAACCGAGTGGTGTTTCCTCTACAGACTTTGGATCAGGGCGCTATTTTCACAGATTGGGCACTTGGAGGAGAGCCATCTGTGGGTACAATATGTGTGGGGGTTCTTCATGTTTTTTATATGTATGGGGGATAATTCAATTACTAGAGTATGTTGTAATCCTCTCCCAGACACAGAGGCACCTGGGCGGACTTTCAATACAGACCCCATACTGGGTGTCTGTGTATATAAACTTGTGTTTCTTATGTTAAATGTTGTTTTACCCTTCATCAAGTCTCGACTCATGTATGGGTAGCAAGAGCAATAACCACTATATTCTTTACAGGACTTGGGAGGCACTACTAGGAGTAGTGGGGATCTACTACACCCTCTGTTACCAACACTGTAATGAGGGTGCCTCACTTCCCTATTATACAGCCTAATATTTGTGCAAACTAGTAGGATTTGCAAGTTTTAAATCTCAGTTGACTTTTAATGCGTTGGTCAGTTTGTCATTTTGGAAGACAATAACAGTGATTCAGCACAGATAATACCATATATAACATCTGTATGATATGAATGTATGATGTATGTATCTAACAGATATTTTTCTGGATAATGAGGAAGTGCAGTTGTAGACAGTGTGTGTGTGTGTGTCATAGAGAGAGAGAGGGATGTAAATTTAATATGTGTGTGGTATAAATGTATGTGTCATCATACTCTGTGTGATGGTTAATTGTCAATGTAATGCATATTTAATCAGAAGGTTGCTGGGGAAAGGCTGGCCGGGGCGAACTCTAAGTGGGCTCCTAAAAAGCCCAAGGTAGCACCTTTTCATAGATAGCCACTAGCCTCTAACAATCTGCAACTGGAGGTGTTATTTCTGTCTCAGTGTTTGTAATAACATCTTCAACTGCAAATTTTCCAACAACCTCTTCTACTTATACTCTCAGTAATAAATTACAACTTAAAGGGATCCTATAGTGCCAGGATTACAAAGCTGTATTCCTGGCACAATAGCTCCCCAAAAGCACCCTGGCTCCTCCCCCGCCCGTGTGAATAAATGGTTAAAACCCCTTTATTTACTTACCTGATCCACCTCCTGCTCCGACCTGCGACACAGGATGTCCTCATGCAGGGAGTGAGGATGTGCATCATAGGTTACCAAACCAAATGTCCTTTTGGATGCAGGAAGCACCTCTAGTGGCTATCTGAGAGAATTAGCGCTGGCAGACTTAGTGCTGCAATGTAAACACTGCAGTTTCTCTGGAAGTGCAATAGGGATACTGCACCCAGACCACTTGAATAAGCTGATGTGATCTGGGTGCCTATAATAACCCTTTAAAGAGGATCTGGGACTTATCTAGAATTTACTCCATTGAGCAAAACAATGAAAATCACCTACTGCTTGTGTTCAACTTTTTCATGAGATAATATGTTTTCTTTTACATTTACTTTGATTCAGCAAATACATCATAATCCAGTTCAAGCAAGGCAAACATCGCTAATGAAGAGGAGAAA